GACAGGAAGGCGAAGACGCAACGTCGAGGCGAACAACAAGCATGGACCATCGACTCGGATCACCGGCTCTGAGGAAGACGAAGACGTCGAAACGTTAGCCGAAAATAAATATATTTATCAACCTCGTGCAAGCTTATCAAGAAAGAATACATATTGATTTGTCACACCGAGGTTTAGGGAAGGTCGGTTTCGAAATACAGACTGATCAGCTTCTTGGCGCTCAAGTGGGAGGATCCAGCACACACCATCTGCTTTGTGATAACTCCTCCAAGTTCATGTTAAAAGAACGTTGAAAATATACAAGATTATTCCTGATACCAGAATCGTATAGCACACCGTTAATGATGCCAATCATTACTAAAACGGTGCTAGTTCGATCGCCATGTAAGCTAACGAAAACTCTCATCCCTCCGGGATCGGAAAGTTACCGAACTTGCCCGAAAGGTACCGAACTTGCCCGGAATAGAAAAGAATTTCTGATATCGTAAAACCGTCCATCACCGTAATTCTTCAAACATCCATTCCTCATGAAATATTTGTACTTTGGTTTATTTCTAAGCCTTTTCACATGCAGTTTAATATATCCAACCTTGAGATCTAATGTTTATATTAGATATAATTATAGACCTCTGCCTCTCATTATGATATTTCCATTTTTAATCCCACTTTTTCAAAACATCTTCAGGCAACGATAAATTCGGCATCACATTCGAACACAGTATCCTACGTTTGCTAGGACCTGACGAAACCTTCGACTAGATCCCACTTTGCGATAGCCCATTAACTTGAGGTTCAGCACTTTGGTAGCGCGAACGATGGTGTATTGTTTCCAAGTTTGCATGTGCTCTGAATAATGAGAATAGCCAGCATTTAAACCCATATAACCATCAACGTGGCAGGCCATTGAGACAGAAACATTTCTGTGCTCCTCGTTTCATCATCGCCGTAATTTGGTTCTAATATCTCATCCCCCATTTGCTGTTGCTATCTGGAGTAAACACGATTGATATTCTCGGCGGTCATCGATGTACTCTTGCTTGCACCAGGTACGCAATGGTTAGAATTTGTCAATTGTTGACCACGGTGTGATACCACTTTCAAGCTGCGGATATGCTTTTCTACACTCTTAACAAACAACATTCTAGAACATACTCTAACAAAGGCGCATGTAGAGCAGTGGTTGAAGATGCCGTGCAATACACATGGAATCGATCTCCGCGCTCCAGGCTTACCAAATCCTCCATCCCTCCGGGTTCGGCGAATTGGTACCAGACTTGTCTGGGAGGATAGCAGCACTGGCTCGATACATCGGTAGGCCACCATGAGTTATTGTAAAGGTCAGACATGCATTCAAGCATCTTCAACGATGCTTAAAGAAATGGAATGCATGGCGCGTTGCTTAGGGATTCATTAATGCCTAGAGATTTGTAGCCCAACAGGGTGCGAAATGGTAAGGACGTAAAAAAAAGCAAATTCTTATCAAAAATTGAAATATGCTGATATTCCAATCTAACAATGGAGGAGGAATTGAAAAAAAACTTTTCATGCAACTGTTATGTTCTCGTATGGTTGGTAGCAAATACATACCATTGTACAATCCAGTACAATGGAGAAAGTTTTATGGCATTCCAGCTAGCATCGGGCAATAGGAACGATTAAAAAAGTTCGGCGATGATTTTCGCAAGGGAGAGAAGGAGAAAGTTTCAGTTTGGATTTCTACGATTTGTAGAGGTAGGTACAGAAATATTGACACTTGATACTTGAATGGCCCGTGCTCACTGGTTGTGCGGGCACCAGCATAATCTCCTTTTTTCGGAGATTAGCTGGTTAAGCCATTGTGGTTCCATGGTGCCCCGAGGTCACCCTGGCCAAAATCTGCCCCAGGTCTTCACCACCACGGGCAGTCGCAACCCTTGTGGATCAGAGAGATTTACCAGCATGCGATTTTGATACCAGGACGGTAGTGGATCCTGGTATTGGTTTACTCTTAGCTAGTTTTCCTGATGGAAACGCTAGACTCCTTCTCAGCTTGGGAGACCCTGCCAGGGGATGAATCCTCCCGCTGTGCATCGCAGTCCTACACCCAGGAACACCTCCCAGCCACGATGAGGCGGTAAACCGTTGGGAGGATAGAAATATTAAGTGTCCATAAATGTGATCTACCGAGATGTCCTCACTTTTTCTGCAGAAGCGATAAAAAATTCCGCTTCAGATATATTTAGATAACCAACCTCTGCAAGACATACACTATTGGATGGTTCATGCCATGTCAGACAAGGCTCAGACTCCTTGGGAAGAAGTGAATTTTTCTGGAACGGAAGTTTTGTTTAACGCACATTAGTGAAAAAACTCAGATTACTCATACAGTATGGTAAGTTTTCAAAGACAGAAGTCGAACTAGTGAAATCACAAGTAATTCCATCGTTGAAAAGAAGCTGATTGGGGTCAAACTAATTTCCACTCAGATTTCACACTTTTCCCACTTATTCCCAATTTGGACCGCATAAATCGATGACAAAAGCACATCATACTGTGAACTAACTTCATGTTTCCCTTAAGTAAAGTCCGTAGAATTGGCTCACGTCAACTCAAAGTGCCACCCTATGATTTGCTGCGTGACAGCTGCTTGACCTCTATTCCACTGATCCTTTAAAACGATCACATAAGAAGAACCAACCCAAGCGACGGGAAGTTTAAACCCTACAGAACCTAGGAAATGTGCTATTCCACTTCAGTATCATACAGTGGGTGAACTGGAAGCGTTCATACAGTCCTGATCTATTGCAAGAGTCGTGGGAAAAGCACTAGGTGAAATAAGCGAATCAGACAACTGCGCAGATGCTGGGTAAGGACCTGCAAAATGTCCCACCGTTTGGAACTCGAAGTGACTCTCGACAAACAGTCCTGTAAAATTATTGTTGGAGACTATATGAAGGTAGTAAGATCCAATACAGGTTCAGGAAATCTGGCACGGCACACTGAAATTCGAGTGGAAACCGACAGTGCTTTTGGATTACGGCGTGCAGCATGTTTTCTTCCTGGAAAGTCATTTTTCGGTAGATCTAAAGCTATTCCAATTGCAACATATCTGACACGTCTAGTAAAAAAATGCCAGCCGCAGAAGACACGTTCAGGAGGGCGTACATCGGTATAGATAAATCAAGCTACTGTCAGGACCTGTGCCATTATGTCTCGCTGCCAATAGTAAACGAAAATAGGACCATTGTAATACCCTCCATGATATAGAGCCGAAACCAGAAAAATTCTACTTCACCTTCTTCTGTTCCACTCCCACTGTCAAGAACCATGGTGGAGAAGGAACGTACCAGATCCTTTCTTGTAAAGCTTACTACAGAAAAGATGGAAAGATGGACAGCACCGGAAAGACTAAACATCTCACCCAATTTCATTTGCGTTATAATCTACTTTGTAAATGTACTTTTCGCAACCCATATGATATCTTGCCCTCAAAAAGAGAACGTTTTAGGCCAGTGAAGGGCGTCGGGAATACTCATTCTGCTTTAGGCAAAAAAATCTCGCATGAATTTACTTCTGAGTATTTTCACTGGGCTCTTCAGGTAGTTCAGCTCTCGCGCACACCAAAAGCTCTGAAGGAATCCAAACTAACGGCCGAAGCGATTCTGAAAAAGATGCCACTAAATTGACCACATACAACCAGTAACAATGGTCCACTGAGCATACCACCTACCACTTATTCTAGCACTTCATCTTCGTCTACCAAAACGCGTTCAACGGATTGCAATCGAATGCCATTCTGCCACTGATCGAGTGAATCCCTTCTGCGGGACAATCTTGAACTGATATCACAGTTTCTAATACCTCGAACATTCAGCTTTTTCCTCGACTACTTCCTATCACCATAGAGAAAGACATACGAAAAGGTCATACCACATCCTTGGAGGTATTTTTGACTGTGACATTGCTCTTTGTGACGAAATCGTTCGTTTGAGACGGAAACAGAATTTGCATTGATGTCAAATTCCTAGTAAACAGTCTCTATGAAGAGAGCGAAAGCTAGAGAATGGGAATAATTCGAAAGAAGAGCCAATTCATGGAAAACCCACTGACAAATGGACGACTGGACGATTGAGAATAAAGAGTACCCCAATGGACACGAGAAACTGTGAAAGTATAAGTGGCGCATGATTGCCGAACCGATAGAAACCATAGTCCAATTAACAGTTCCAGAACTTCGCATTCACGTTTTCGGCTCAACTGTTCTCCATGTGCTACTTTATCCACGTTAAGAAGTCCGAACCAAAATCCAAGCACTTCAGAAATTTCCTCTAATATACAATTATCACACACAATATTAAACCGCACAAAGCAATTCGGAACTCCGACAAATATATTTTCTATATTATTTCTATAATATATTTCATATAATATATATATATTTTCTATAATATATTTCAGTCGATTAAACGTCGACAAACGAAAGTTAAATCAGTCGGTCATATGAAGGGTGCAGTTGGGATAGGTGCTCGAGAGCAATCAACGAGGAGAACCCAAATAGGATAAAAGTATCGCTAATATTAGTGGATACACAAGTGACTCGTTCTTCGTCTCTACACTAAATCCTAACTCTTAGATTTGAAAGGAGATATGATAACAGTACAAAAGCAATACTCATGGATGTGTTTACGGAAATGATGGTGCTCCAGGCATCGCATGCGTCCAATTTGGTCGAGAAACCTCGATCTTACATTAGATGTTATTGATCTAGCACCATTCCCATACGCCAATATCAAAATATTCCAGTTACAGTTCAAATTATGAAAGTTCAAGCAATCGAAGAACATACAGCGGTCTTTCCAATTGTGATGTTATATCATTCCGACTTCAACCGGTTTATTATTATTATTAAAAAACATTAACAAATACTATCTACTAAATTAGTAACAATAACAAGACGTCTATGTTGAAATAGATACATATAAACAACATCTGAGAAATATAGTCGCAGATTAACCTTATTAATCAAACGGTGGCAAACCGAACTCCTCCGGAGCGAATTCCTTCAGTGTAAAGAGGACTTTGTCCGGTCTGAAAAAGACAACAAAACTCGAGATTATGGCTGAAAACAGAGTTCTTTGTCCGATTTTCCTGCAAAACGTTTCCGGCAACAAATAGGTAAATAAATAGATAAGTGAATAAATAAATAAGTGTATAATTCAACCAAAATGGTGTTGACATATTTCCAAAGCTCTGGCCCGCAGGTGTCTGCGGAGGGACCAAACACGCTATTGCGTTTTGCGGGGGCCACCGCGTCCACCACCACACCAAGCGGGTCCTTAGTTTTGCCTTTCTTTCGACTAGTTTTCTATTTACCTTCGTTTATTTTCTATCTATCTGAATGTATAGTGCTAGTAATGGTGATAAACAATTTCCTAACGATTTGAGATGAACAACGTAGAGTAAAACAGGTTATGCAAAGTGCATTACTCGCTATATATCACAAACTTTAACAGATAAGACAGAACGTTGATTATTCAGTATCCGAAGATAACTTTTTGACCACTAGGTTAGTTAGCGCTTGAGGAGCTAAACAACTTTGCGCTATGTGCTACAAATCTGCCATAAAAAAACTTCTTGCCTTTGAAACAATTCAGAACCACATTTTCAAGAATTTAATAAGAAAGTCAACTTTGCAAGAATTCTAACGCAAATGCAGCAGATGCAAAAATAAACGATCCTTTGAGGAACACTATAGTGTCTTTGCTGGACCAAATCCAGCTTGTTCAATTGCTTCGTTACTTGAAATATGAGCTTTCGTGAAAGGAAAGGCAAAACGGAAATACGAATCATACACTTAAAAAACCCTTCTGGACAACAGAAAAACACATGTTTTGTTGACAACGATCTACAGATTCCAATAAACTTTATATAAATTAAGAAGGTTCACTAAAAGGCCAGAAGTGCACGCATAAAGGTGAAAAATACGCGTTAAACAAGACATGACGATGTGTTCGGATAAACTTAAAAGATATATGTTTAACACGAGACCCAGTAAATATATCGCTAGCTACTGTACTATTCTAACATCGTAGAAGGACTCGCATGATGTAGTGATGAAAGCGTTAGCTCCCAGAAAGGGTAATAGCGTGTTCAGTCCCCATCGCAGACATCAGTGGACCGAAGTTTTGCAAATATCTCAGCATTATTGTGGTTATATCGCTAGAGCTTACCAAGTTGAAATAGAAAACTTTAAAACGTTCGCACCGTAGAGCTTCTGCCTTTTCACGAAACATTTCATCGGGAACCATAACACACCGCATTCCAGCTTCAAGCGCTGCTTTCACCCCGTTCGGGGCATCTTCAAATACGAGCACATGGGAAGGATTGGTAGGTGGTATAGGAAATCTGATATAGCTAGATTTTTGAAGAAGCCAAATTAAAGCACAACAGAAGCCTCCACCAACAAATGAACCTTCTCATTGTTTCCAGAAAAGCATCAGGATGGGGTTTACCTCGCTTGATGCTATCATCGTCTCCAATGCATACCTTATAAGAACAAACTTAGATGTTATAAAAAGAACTGGCCAAATTTTGATGTTGAGATTTCAAATCTTAATCTATCTAAAGATAGCCTGATTTGACAAAACAGTAGTTTCTTCCTTTCTAATGCCATGACAAGGAATTTAATAGAGTTGAAAACTTACATGTATAGGTATTAAGTCAAGCCAATCTCGGTGATTCTCGGCTTTCTGAAAGAATGAACGGCTGCAAGACCCCGTACAAATAGCCATTGGAATTCCTGAAGACAGTAATCAGAACTGTGTAGGAGAAACTTTGACTAAGTATGACCATAGTGGAAAAGTAGCCGCAACAAAAAGGAAACGAACTAGAGGAAGTAAGATTTTCGCCAACAAAGGCAAACGTTCAAGAAGAAACTCAAAAATTAAAGGAGTTTATAAACATTTCTGATGGGCTTGTGGTGAAATGGTTTTATATCACAGACTTTGAGGCACAATACCTACTTTAATACCTGGATGGTCCGTCTTCACTGGTTGTGCGAGCCCCAGCATAATTTTCATCGTTTCGAAGTTCTGCTGGTTTAGCTATTGTGGTTCCCGGAGTACCGAGCTCAGCTCAACGAAATTCTGCCCCAGGTCGTCACCACTATAGGCAGTAGCAGCTCTTGTGTATCAGAGAGGGATTAGCCACCATGCGACTACTTTGATACCAAGACGATGGTGGATCCTGATATTGGTTTATTCTTAGCTGGGCTTCTGGATGGAAAAGTGGGATTCAATCTCAGCTTGGGCATGAATCTCCCGCTCTACATCACACCCCGACACCTAAGGACACGCGTCCCAGTCGCGAAGATGCGTTAAACCGTTGGGAGGATGAGGCAATCGAAATTAGATGAATTTGATTTGGATGGCATATTAGCAACCAAAAATGGATTACTATACCATTCTTGGCCAAATGTCGAACAAGATTCTCAGCTCCTGGTAGGCTATCACACTTCTCGAACATCTTCGCTAACATTTTATGGTAATCAACAGCATACTCTTCAGGTGTCACGCGATCAGCAATGCCTACCTTTGAAAAGTAAGTATCACTCGCAGTAAGGATTACTGTGAAGGAAATGGCATTCTAGAATTGAAAGAAAAACACCAAAACCACTAATAAAGCAGGATACTGATCATACCTCATCCAGTAACCACGCGATCGCTTCCAAATTCTTGCGTCCCATCATTCCTTAATTTACCATCCATTCACATCAATCGATAAACCGCCGTCCTTATTTGAACAATTACTGTTTCCAAAAAATAACTGTACCCACTTGCCTTCATATCCATAGTGAATTCACGACCGAATCTACTTAGCATAGCCTGGTTTGCTAGAGTGTAACTGGGTTCAGTATCCACAAGAAGACCATCAAAATCGAAGATAACGTGGGAGATTGTTGGCTTGACCGCAACCATTCTGAAATAAAGTTGCTTACAGAGTGTTATTAAGTCAAAAAAGAAATATAACTGTCCAAAACGAAACCATGTACGATAATAAGTAGAGGATTGACAAGCGCGCTCGAATCTCTCTTCGAGACAGGAACGGATAACTCGTCCGCGGGCGACTCTGGTGTAGCATGTGGAGAGGGCCTGCTATAGATGAAATGCTCTTTGGTTCAATCGCCTGTCCACCAGGTAACTAAGCTCTACGTGCCATCCGGATCGGTAAATTAGTACTGGATCTGCTGCACCCATTGAATCAGTAGTAACTAGCGTAGAGCAGACCAAACTTTCAATTCCGCCTTTCGTTGAACTTCGGTATGGATAATCAGTGTTTTGGCTTATCGATCTTTTGTTTTAGCTTGTCTTGGATTATCGCCAAAGAAACCAATAATTTAGATTGGTAATAAACCACAGACCGTCCTGTGTGCGATCAGGTCACTTCGGCTCTGCTACAGTCCTGCAGAAAACTGCAGTGCTGAGTGAGGTTACTTAAGCAGCCCTCCACACTACTCGACTGGGCTTGATCTGACGCGTATGAAGACTCATATGGCAAGAAGAAACATTTTGTATAGTGGCTGGACTTCAGTGGTCGTGAATGTGAAGAAGGCGTTATCGCCAAAACGTTAGCGATAGTACGATCTGTAACAAGCTCGTGTAAGGTTGTCAATAAATCAAAGCACCTATTTATTGCATCATTAGGCCACTTGAAGTCATTGCATAGGTCAGGTATACAGTCAGTCACCTCTACGATGCTACGAATGGAATTCAATGTACGACGTGTCTCGTAGGGTTTGATCAACAGCGAACGACCTGCGCTTCTACCACATCCAAGCTGTTAAATCGTGAAAATTCGCTGGCATTCGAGTGAACGTTGTTTGGGTAAAGGTTCCCTTTGTGGACTCAGAAGCCCGAAAGTTTTTTAGTTCGTAACACCTTTTTCGATAATATTTCACAAGATACCACACTGCTCCAAGTTACATACCCTTGATTCAAGTATGAAGTTGATCAATCCCTGAGAGATGCGCCATGCATTCCACTTCATTAAGCGTCGCTTGGAAGTGAGTGAATACATATCTGGCCTTTATAATGACTCGCGGTGGCCTACCGATGTATCGGGCCAGTGCTGATACCCTCCCAAATAAGTCTGGTACCAATTTGCCGACTCCGGCGGAACAAAAGGCTTGGTGGGCTTTGTTGTTGGCGAACGATCCCATGTGTAATGGGCAACATTTCTGACGAAATTTTTTCTATCTCCCATTTAAATAAGTCTTTCATTACGTCTCAGTCTTTCATTATTTTCATAACGTCATTTCATTTTTATATCGGTGTCACATTCTTGTATTGTGGGACGTAAATTCTTACGCTGTTGTAGTTATAGTAATACTGTTACACGAACAATATTTCCTGATCATCTCTCATGTTCTTATAATCCTGATGTGTATTGTTCTACATCATTGTTAGTGTACTCTTTTTTCTTTGTTAGATTACTACCTGCTAAACCACCTTAGTTGCAATTTAATGTTCATACATTTCTAATCTAATTGCGTTCTCGTGTAAACATTGTGTGTATCAACTATTTAATTACCCATGCTTGAGGCGTCGCAAATCGATACAGAATCAAGAATATCCGCCCGTCGTCTTACGCTATAAGTGTATTGCGAGGCGCCTCCGATCACTGGACTACACCCTCTCCTGTTTATCATTCATCATAGCAGGCCACAGGTCATTGTCGCAATTGCTAGTGGAAAATAGGTCTACGAGTTAGTTCTCGGCACCGAATAATCACTTGTAAAGTGCTCAACTTCGTAGGAATTTGCCACAGGGGACTTTTTAGACGTTTTCACAAAGCAATAGCTTTAATTTAGGTAATTAAAACTTTATAAAAATAATATCGAGTGAATAACGATACTTCAACATCAAAGCAATACATTCAGCAATGTAATATAATTGTCGAAACAGTACATGCGGAAATGTGGTAACATAGTGAATAAGTGGGGGTATGACCGGTTCATAAGAGGATGGTTCGGAGTGAGATAGTAGTTATGTCGTAGGTTGGTGGAGCAATGCGATGTGCATGTATGATACAGAATGCATCAGTGGTAGTCAGCACATCAGAGGGCTCATTTGTGATTGTAAATCTTGACTACAAAGCGACGGGGTTAGACACTAAAAGTAAGCTTGTGATAACATTGCGATGAGGTTTTCGTATTAAGGAGCACAGATTAGTCTGTGACAAGATCGTGACACTGATGACTCCACAAAGGGGTTAATCTTCTAAAAGATACATAACAGTGTAATCAGGTTAATGTACAGCAGTGGTCACATGCTATAAAGGTTAACAACCTAAATCATTTACATGGAGTAACGGATAAAATAAGCAAGAGGGCCACAAGGACTAGACGAAAACGAAACGAGAACCCCCGACGAGACGAATAGCATAGTGACTCATGAGGTTATCTGTAGGAGGCGGTATTTTGCTGCAACTCCACAACTTTTACCGAAAACATTCATTGACTATCGCTTCCAAATCCCTCATGATTAGACCAGGCAAAGGGCTCTCCCGAAGAACTTTTTGTCATTCGATTCGTGTTGTGGCAAGCGTGAAGGCTTTGAACAGAAATAACACGCAAAAAGCTCTGACTGCACAGGGAGTATGGATAACGAAGACTGTTTGCGGCTAAAAGAGTTCCTTAGAATCAAATGAGAGCATTTACGCGCTCCGAGATTGCAAAGCGGTATGAGAAACGGTGAATGTGGTCTTACTGTGGCAAATAAAATGAAGGAATTGTAGCTATTCGGAGAATAGTTACTATAAATATGCACCCTTATTGATGGTAATGTGTAGCGCAGTGGTTAGAGGCGCCCTGCAATAAACGTGGAATCGGTCCCTCCCGTAGGCTCACCGGGCCTTCCATCCTTCCGTGGTTCACAAATTGGTACCAGACCTGTCTGGGTGGATAATAGCACTGGGTCGACGCATCGGTAAGCCACCGCGAGTCAGTGCAAAGGCCAAAAATGCATTCAACCACCTCCAACGATGCTTAGCGTTGCCGAATGCATGGCGCACACCTTAGGCATTGATCAATACCGTGGGCTTCATGCTTGTTTTTTATTTAGATGTGAACATGAGGATTCCATGTTTCCCCACTGCTGTTTGCAATGGTGGCTCTGGATGGTCGAATTGCTTGATGTAGCATTGAATTGGAGAGAGGCATTTTGAAACAGTCACTCATAAGAACTATTTTACTAAATTCGTCACTAAGTAGAATGGCGCCTGTGGCGCAGTGGTCGGAGGCACCCTGCGACACACACGTCACACACATGGGATCCATCCTTGTGCCCATGGCCCACCAAGCCTTCTATCCTTCCGGCGTCGGCAAATTGGTACCAAACTTGTCTGTGAGGGCAGGAGCATTGGCTCGATACATCGGCAGGCCACCACGAATCATTGTAAAGGCCAGATGTGCATTCATTCGCCTCCAAGCGATGCTTAATGAAGTAGAATGCGTGGCGCAACCCTCAGGGATTGATCAACGCGGAGAGCTTAACTCATTATCCTTTATTCATCACTAAGTTCTGAAACTACTCAGCTTCCACTTGTCTGCACACCTTTGAACAATTGCACTCTTCATACTTGCATTGACATCAACTCTTGCATTCGACAACATTCGACAACATTCGAAATCCACTCACTTTCACAATATTCGCCTTTTCAGAACATATGTTTGAGAAAGAACAGCTTCGCACCGAAATCGACAACATTCACTGAAGGTACGTCCTGCTCCAAACTCTTTGTTCCAGGATAGATACGGTGAGATTCCCCAGGCCTCTTGGCTTATTTTCAGTTTTTTGTTAACTTACCACATGAACTTCAAGTATTTCTAACACTCGATTTTAAACGACTTAGTTCGCCTTCGCTTCTGTCTAGTGTGGTTGTGCTGAATTCTTGTGCTCAGTGTGACTGCTAAACATTTTTGCTGGCCTGACACGGATTGGTTCGACATAATCTTTTATTACAGACGACATGAAAATGGAGTTATGTAAAGTTAAAGTTAAACATCAACCAAGTTGAGTATGCCTGTAGAGATCATAACTTATGCTATACGTATACAAAAAACTATTTCAGCTTGTTGTTTCAACATTATACAAACGATCTCTTGCCATCGTGGCAATCTTACTGTAGCGCTTTTAATGTCTACACATCAAGCAATAAATTCAGTCAAAAGTTATGTTCTTTCAGTAGGACGCAATATACACAAGCCGTTAGCTTTTGGAACAAGATATTTAGTAGGATTTATGGGTTAGCATCTCCGGGACCAAGGTACATACTGACAACGGGAGCATTGTCTTTAGCACCTTGGGGAGCAGGTGTTGTGGACGTATTTGGTGTGGGAAGTTTTCCAGCGTCAGCAGGTGGTGGAGGTTTAGGAATAGCTACACCAGGAGTGGTTGGTTTACCAGTGAGTGGAGCTGGTGCTCCAGAAACGGCAGATTTGGCAGGAGCAACGGATGCGGCTCCAGCTACGGGTGGTTTGAGAGCAACAGGAGCTGGAGCGGGCGCTTTTGGAGTAGTTGTTACTGTCGGTGTCGGAGGAGGTTCAGTAGTAACTACCAGAGGAACAGTAATTGATTGTACCGAACCCGGTGGAGCGGCTATGAATGCATCCTTAGCATTTTTCCTATCGTCTTTTGCTTGCGCCCACTGTATTATCATTATGTCTTCTTTTGGTTTTCCAGGTAGACGTGTGATCACAAGTGAAATAGTGCTAGACATAGCAATAAAACCATATATAGGTTGTATACCATATTCGTTGTTGTTTGAGCACTTCACTTTGAACACAACTCGTTCTCCACCGTTCTTCAGAGTAACAGTCATTTTTCCTCCAGCTGTTGTGAATTTGACGATTGCGGGCTCCACGGTCACTGCTCTAAATTCGGGGATATTAGTTGAGCAAGATGAATAGTCATAAGGCTTTGTGGCAAATAAACTAGAAGCTAGCAAATACCGACAGTCATAGTGTTTAAAATGTTTTTTGATCGCATATGATAAGTTTTTCACGACGTGGCGAAGACGATCTGCTGTTGACAGTTTGTTTATGTGGTTGTGAGAGTTACGCTAGATGAAGCTAAAAATCATCGAACAAAAGAAGCAAGTCTCTTGATCATTTTCATGGATGTAATATTCGTGAAATTACTATTAAAGGATAAAGCTCTCGGCGTTGATCAGTCCCTGAGAGATGCGCCATGCATTCGACCTCATTAAGTATCGTTGGAGGTGATTAAATGCATATCTGGCCTTTAAAATGACACGCGCGATGGCCTACCGATGCATCGAGCCAGTGCTGCTATCCTCCCAGACAAGTCTGGCACTAATTTGCCGACCCTAGAAGGATGATGGAAGCTTGGTGGGCCATGGGCCGGGATCGATTTCACGTGTGTGTCGCAGTGGCGCCTCTGGCCACATGAAATTACTATTATATTAAATTATACGCGAACTAGCAATAATAAGAACTTTGCAACAGTAATCCAAATTAGCTGTATTTCTTCAATAAGCAGACATGAGGTTGGTATTATAGAATTTACTAGGACACAACAGCTGGCGTTTCGGCGGTTTCGCCTTCTTCAGAGCCTGGAAAGGTCAAATTGACATGTGATCTACTCAGCCAGACTCTATCATAACCCTAGAAGGTAAGACCTAACATATAAATTTGCATTCACATAATAAACAGCTTCATTTGAACACCCACTGTTTATTTGTTGTAAATATTCCAATTTGTTGCTGTACAGCAGTCGCACAGAGTAAAACATGGACGAGGTCTGTACCTGGGTCAGATCATTGAATCAGCATGAGGTATGGGGCGAGGTCACACGTGAGGACAAGACACTCCTCCTTGCGGTTCATTTTTGAATTTTTGGCATTGATCCAAAACGCTTCAAGAGTTTTACGCGCTGATGTTTTCGATTCCTGCATAAGGATAGTGACTCCTACCTCAAAATCTTCTCCATTTTGTTCCTGCATCCTATGCGCGCCTAGTGGAGTATTTTGTTTTAATTTAGATTTACCGACTAGGTGTTCTTTTATGCGGACGCAGAGCGGTCTACCCGTTCCGCCAACATATTCGTGCCCGCACGCTTTGCAAGAGACTAGGTACAGCGGACCCGAACTCATGCAATCACCGTCTCCACCGTTAAGACAAGTTTACAGTTTTTCGTTGCACACAGACCCTCGTACAGGCGGTTACGAACTAGCTGGCGTCTTAGAGTGTCCATTGGCATTTTTATCGCTCTTACGTAATTCTCTAGACGAGTCCTTATTAAACAACGTTTTATTGCTGCACTTATTTCGTATGAAATAAAGGGTAAGAAGAACGGAGCCTTGTTCTCGCTTGAATTATCGTTCTACGGCGTGGTTTTTCCTCTACGTCTACGCCGAGAAGCTATAGCTTCGTAGCCATTTGAAATGCCTATTTGGCGCTCTAGTTTCGAGGATTCTTCCTTCTGCTCTATACCTGTGCACACGCTGGTGGCAGTTCGAAACAAATAGACGATGGGTGTTTAAATGAAGCTATTGTTTATTACGCGAGTGCAAATTTGTGTTAAGTCTTATCTGCTAGGGTTATGAAAGTGTTTGGCTGAGTGGATCGCATCTCAATTTGACCTTTCTAGACTCTTAAGAAGGCGAAAACGCCGAAACGTCAGCTATTGCATCCTTATAAGTTCTTTAATACCAACCTCTTGTCTGCTTTTTAAAGCAAAACAACGAATTATTGACCAATGCCGAGGTTAATAGAAAGTCGGTTTTGGGAAATGCCACCACGTGAAGTAATACAAATGTTTTCAAACCTAATTGTTTGACCTATTTCAGCCTATATAATGGTAAGATTTCCATAACTAAATCCCAGTTGTGCTAGAAAATAGCACGAACAAGCATTACTATTTTTGGCGTTCTATGCGGTAGATTATTGATAAATTTTATCTACCCCCGTTATTGAAAAAAAATTATGGCCATAGATAAAAGTTATACTTTGTGATTTCGACTACATCCTCAGCTTAACTGGGTTTCATGCCAATCCGTGCTCTCCGGATCATTTCTGCTAAGACTGTCTGAAGGAAAAGCAGAACGAAGGGCCTCAAGTGGTGCTGTGGGTAACACGTGAACCGCCGAAAACGGTAATCGCGGGTTCGAATCTGGACTAGCGTACAAATTTTTCAAATATCTGAGCATTATTGTGGTTAGTGACTAATGATGTCTGCCATCACGAGCATGGTGCTAGTTCAATTCCGTTCCGCGCCAGCCAACCTTGTCATCCCTTCGGGGTCGGGAAATTGATACCGAACTTCTCTGGGAAAAAATCACTCTCTGCAATCCAGTTGGGAGCGTTCCAACCCAGCTATCTCAGGACTCCAAGGTTAATTGCTTGACCAGTATCCTACGACATTCAAGATGAAATGAAAATCCTCAAGCAGCAATCGAAGCCACACGTAAAAACTTGGAAGACCTTCGTGGACGATGGTTCCGAGGAAACGAATTGGATGTGAGAAGTGCTGGGATCTCCACAGTAGACGTGAAGACGGATCACATAAAGTAAAAATAAAATAAAAATTGTGGTTATCTGATGGGTAGTTGGTAGCGCGTGTCCCGATGCTGAAGTTGCTGTAAAATGTTTACTGAATAGCCTGGAAATGTTGCGTATTTCCAGTTAAGTTAAAGTGGAAGTTGAAAAGAGCTAAATAACATTGAATCGTCTCGACGATAACGGGAACAGGTGATGCGGTTCCAGGTTGTCAGTTACTACTCCATACGAAAAGGCCCATTCGACTGAACATTGATTATAATTCTACGCTAAGGAAACTGAGCACTAGTGTACTAAACTCTTAGTTACGACATTATTCCGCACAATATTTCATAGAAAATGCTATTCTTACTTTTTTGGCCCTGCGTCTTCTTTCTTTTGTTCTTTTTCATCTTTCTTCTCCATTTTCTTCTTTTCATCTTCCACTTTCTGCTCCTCTTTCTTTTCTATTTCTTCCTTTTTCCCTTCTTCCTTCTTTTTGTCTTCTTTCTTCTCCTTTCCTTCTATTTTCTCTTCTTTCTTCCCTTCTTTTTCCTCTTTCTTCTTTTCCTTTTCATCTTTCTTCTCATCTTCCTTTTTCTTCTCTTCTTCTTTCTTTTTTTCTTTTTCTTCTTCTTTACCAGCTACAGGTTCTACCGCGTCCTTCCTCTCATTTATTTTCTCTTTATGGCGCTCACTTGGCGGTACTGTGTCGACTAGGTTGGGATCAGTGTAGTCTACCTGATAGTACACTAACTTAAAAAGTATAGTGCAGTGTATAATAGAACAAAACAATCCAGAAAATAACAATAGTTTGGACTCACTACCTCCAGTTGGCTTTCAATTTCTGAAAATCAACTAGATAATAGTTATTATGGTGCGTCGACGACGAATATAAACTCTCGAAAAAAAAGTGATAATAATGACAATACAAATGGATTCTTTATGGCGAGGCTACGAACAATTCGAACCAGAACGCTCAGATAGTTTGAAGGAATATCCCTCGGTGTATCCTTCCTTCTTAATATTCTTTTAAAATGCAATTTAATAAGTTAAACATACATTCATGCAGCTGTTTTCTCGATCGATTTGAAATCTATGTCTACTGACTTAACATGTCAACTTGCCAATATATGAAGTAGTAGTACTATCTGATATTCCACATATCTAGTCAATGGCTAGCACTGTGGTGTAGAAATATGAAATCCCACATAATCGTCTCGAACAGTTCAGAAATTCTACAAGTCGGGATATATTACTGTATCACCATTTCAGTGCCTTACACGTATTTATCGTCCACTTGGTCAATGGGATGAAATGAAAACGCAAAAGATGATAGCAACGATAATGGCAATAGATGCAGGTCAAACGTCATCTTGCAGAATCACCGCATACTGATTACTTCTCTCCTACGTTCTTCACATTTTGGCACAAGTGAGTGTTCAGAAGACAACCAGCGTCTACTGCGCGGGTGAGGTCTACGCTCTGTCCATACGCGTTCAAGTTCATGGCAGAGTACCCCTCCTATAAGTCGAAACTGCCAAAGCGCCAGCAGTCAAGTGACTGGGAGATTTTATAGGGTGTTTTCCCGCCGTCTAGAGTAGAATACTCTGGAAGTGCCTGCCCGTCAACATACACAAGGACTATATCAACCGTCCATGACAAAGGCCATCAAGCCGCATGTGAGTTAGGGTGTCATCTCACCAAACATAGTAAACATTGTATAAAATGAATTATATGAAAGATATGATTCTCTCTGTATTCAATGATGGAACAAAGCTAATTGAGCAGCGGTGACTCGTGGAAACAACTAATGCATATTGGTGCTCCGTTCAGTTAGTCACTTGATATTTATTACCGGATTTTCGGTGATGCTGGAGGTTCCACGTAATGCGTAGAGAAGAGATCACATTTCTCCTTAAGGGGTTAGCCATTCAACATCGTTGTGAAGATGTTCAAGCTCAAAGCACGAAATGGAAGCATTGTTAGCTCTTCCATCCAATGGTTCACGGAAGACTTCATATGGACACAAATCTATCTAAGGGCGGTCCGAAAATTCTCGATCATAACTTGGATTGGATTTACTATATTCTTTGAAACGTATAATCCAGAAATTATCACTTACTTCCGTCCTTTTCTTTCTTTTTCGTTGGCACTAATTTGATAACTGGTACAGCTGCCGCAGCATCGATTTTGTCCGATTTCTTGTCTTTTGCTCTGGCATCCGGTTTGTCGGCTTTACGAACTTTCTTCATTTTCAACTTCATCAACTTATCGTCTTTTTTGTCCGTTTTGTATATCTGTTCTTTTGCTTTCTTTTCCTTCTTCTTTGGTAACTCTTTCGCCTTCGTCTCTGATTCTTTCTTCTCTTTCGATTCATTCGGCTTTTTCTTGTCATTGGTCGTATTTTCGTTGGACTTCTTCGCCTCGTTCGAACCTACCTTCGAATCTTGAGCTTTCGTTTTCTCCTTTTCTACTTTTCCACCCTTTTTCTCCTTTACGTTTTCCTTCCCCTTATTTTGTGTTTCCGCTGTGTTTTGTGACTTTTGAGTTCCAGTTGCTCCACTTTCAGCCTTGTTTGAACAATTTGTCAGTGTAAAAGGTATGAACAGCAGAATGCATGCATAAAGTAACCATCCACCCATCTGCAATAGTGGTTTTTTTCTTCTATTAAAATTCATTTATTGACAAATATTGACTCACCACTAAATCCATGTTAGCGAACCGCCTACACGTTCGTTTGCTGTTTAAGCAATGAGTAATATCATAGCAATGGGAATCAGACGATAGTATCACATAAATTATTCAAATGATTTCATTTTGATTTCCATGAAACGGAACTCTTACCTTATACCAGCATAATTCTGTGGAATTTTCACTATCGCGAACGGTTGTTCGTAACGATGGCAATCGCTGGACTTCCATAAAACGTACAAGGCTATAACTTGTGCTATTCGTGCAACTCATAAAAGAAACCATACTTTTGCTGATGAAATTAGAGCATAAATGCCACCAAATACGGTTTTGTTCGCATACGATACGCAAGGCACAGATGTTGATTGCGTCGCGACAACAACTGAGATCTCTCATCGACAAAAGTTTGTGAGTTTCAATCGTATCGTCTTCTCTGTAATCTGGTAGCTTTTTCACAGATATGAAACATAAGGTGGATCTGGTTTATATCTCATATGTGAATTTCCAAAGGGGTGTGTAGTACAGTGGTCGTGGGAGCCCTGCAGCACACACGTGGAATCGATCTCCGCGCCCATGGCCCATCAAGCCTTCCATCCCTCAGGGGTCGACAAATTGGTACCAGACATGTCTGGGAGGATAGCAGCACTGGTTCGGAACATCGTCATCTCCAAACGGTGCTCAATGAAGTCGAATTCACGGCGCATCCCTCAGGGATTGATCAACGCCGAGAGCTTTATCGTTCATCATTTTATGTGAATTCGCAAAAACCGCTTCATCACAGTCAGTTGTTATCAGCAATAAGGTAATTTCGCCCTAGATGGTTTTTTCTGGGAAAAAAATCACTCTCTGTAATCCAAATGGAGACGTTCTAGCCTGGTTATCCCAGGACTCCAGAGAGAATCCACTCGACCAGAATTCGAGGACTTTCATTAAGAAGGCGAATATCCACAATCAGCAGCCGAAGCCACGCGTAAAAGTTAGAACTTAGTGGATAATGGATATTGGGAAACGAATCGAATGTGAGGAGTGCTGGAATCTGCACAATAGACGTGATGACGGCTCGTATAAAATAAGATATTAAAGAAAAAATGCCCTATCCGAAACGTGCTGTTTGATCGTAGTATATATATATATATATATATATATATATATATACATATATATATATATACAATGGTATTTAGTACAGAAACGAAGCTCGAAAAACTAAACGGGTCCTGAACACAGGACTAACATGAACATCTCTGGAATATCACCACCATCACCAACTTTCCGCTCTATCTGCGCCTAATGCGCTACTGAGACAAAAGAAGTCTTCGTTGATACATTTGTTTATATGATCTTATAAACTGATCTTCTTAAGCTGACGCGAGGCTGGTACAAGTCTTCGTTGTCGTTGTCGTTGTTTTTGACGTTGTTGGTCGATGGCTTACGTTTCGGCAACTTCGCCTTCCTCAGAGCCTGGACGTATTTTATATTAGAATCTTTTTATTATTCGATGCAAGAAAAGGTTAAAGTATTAATGAAGATCAAACTTTTAAATAGACGCCATATTGAACAGAAAGGCCACTCACCGTGATGTTACGTGTGGGACTGTGGCCCACGCGTTGTTTTCGTGGAGTCGCGAGCAAGACACACCTCGGGGTACAAATATCATTTTGAAATAGGGCGCCAGGTTACGCGTGATAATGAGGCATTTGTCTTTCCGGTTTATCTTTGGATTTTTGGAATTTATCCAAAACGCCTCAAGAGTTTTGCGCGTTGGTGCTTTTGATTCTCAGACGTTTTACGTGGGCCAGTCCCACACGTAACATCACGGTGAGCGGCCTTATATATATATATATATAAATATATATAATATTTATTTATATATATATATATATACAAGGTGGTCTACCCGTTTCCCCAATGTATTCCTCGCGTCATGCGTTACATGAGAGTAGTCCCCCCTACTCCCCGGAAAGGACAATAACGCGCGTTCGTTCCCCACCGCATACAGCTGCGGTCCGGAGTTTTGCAAATATCTCAGCATTTCATACGAGTTATATTTCGCAACATACCCTGTCATTAAAAAGAAAAAATGCAGTAAATAAAAGGGTTAAAATCGTTACATAATTTTCAAGGCCACTTTTTCTTATGCACTTTTAAATGGCGTGACTTACTTCATTTGATATGAAGTGTAACAAAACTCTTGAGGCGTTTTGGATAAATTTCAAATATCCAAAGATGAACCGGAAAGACGAATGCCTCATTATCACGCGTGACCTGGCGCCCTATTTCAAAATGATATTTTAACCCCGGGGTGTGTCTTTCTGTCGACCCCACGTGAACTACGTCTCGGCCAGTGCCACACGAAAGCATCACGGTGAGTGGCCTTTCTGTTCAATATGGCGTCTATTTGAAAGTTCGATAGTTCATTAATAGTTTAACTTTTTTCCACCGAATAATAAAAATATTCTAATATAAAATACGTACAGGCTCTGAGGAAGGCGAAGTCGCCGAAACGTCAGCCATCGACCAACAACATTAAAAACAACGACAACGACGACCTGTACCAACCTCGCGTCACCTTAAGAAGATCAGTTTATGAGATCATATAAATAAATATATCAACTATCTATGCCGAGGTTTATAGAAAGTCGGTCTTTCGAGTTATTAAGAAGACTTCGTTATTGCCGGGCAAATTCACATAATGAATAACGCAATCGAAAGTGTGTAGTGGTAAAGGATAAAGTCATGAAGCGTTTGGCATTGATGAACTGCTTAAAGGTGCCTCATGCATTCAACTCCCTTCGTAACATCGTAGAAGTGATTCAACGCATATTTGGTCCATATAGTGATTTGCAAACTCCACCATATGTATATTAAGTCAGTGTTTCCATCATCCCAGAGAAGCCTGATGACCACTTATCAGTTCCATCCCAAGAGATGGAGAAGCGGTCGAGGTATTCCAGCGAAGAGCGTTCCTCTTTGAATAGTATTTTCGTCCATTCTGGAATGGATAAAGTAAAACGAAAATCGACACAAGCGATGTTTCGAAGCTGTAGGTGTTTCATCGTTGCTACTGATTTCCTAATGAAGTCATTTATCAACTTCTGGTAGTACATCGTTGACTAGCGACTATAACGATTCGGTCGATTTAATAACGTCTAATTTTCGAAATTATACACATCACGATGATGCTGAGATATTTGCAAAACGTGTACCTAAAGCCATGTTCGAACCCGCGATTACCCGCTCTAGAAGCTTACGTGTAACCCACTGCAGCAGTAAAGCCCTTAACCCTATTTTAACATCATCGTAGTTGTATTCCACATAATACCCTACTGTAAAAAATAATAATAGGCAGTAAATAAAAAATTAAATATTGTATACACATCATTTCAATTGTATTGCATATAATGTTAAAACAACTTTACTAGCAATTCTTTTTTTTTGTACATGTAAAATGCTTTTTGTACGTAGATATGTTGTGCAAAATGGTATATTCAAACATTACTCGGGATCGTGGTGAAGTAAATTCACATCGAAAACGCTTTATTCAGAGTTCTCAACAATGAACTATGTCTGAGCAATCATTTCACAGCAATACATATCTCACTGTACTATACTTAATGGTTAGACTTCAAGGCAATAGACTTAAGCAAAGGTGATGTTCTTCAACAAGACGCAATGTGAACGAGATGTGAATAAAGCCAACAATAGATCTTTTACAACATTGTTACATTAAACCGGACACTATTGGAAGGATAACCACCTCGTCAAGAACTACTTTGCTACGTTGAGGGTTTCACAGGGCTTGGTTTAACACGTATAGGAGGTGGTACTCCTGGAGCAGTTTGTTTAGCTGGAATAGGAGCTGGTGGTACTGCGGTGGGTTTGTTTGGCTGAGTAGCGACATGGGCTGGTGCTACAGCGGGTTTGCTTGGCTGAGCAGGAATCAAGACTAGTGCTCCAGCGGGTTTGCTTGGCTGAGCAGGAATCAAGGCTAGTGCTCCGGCGGGTTTGCTTGGCTGAGCAGGAATCAAGGCTAGTGCTCCAGCGGGTTTGCTTGGCTGAGCAGGAATCAAGGCTAGTGCTCCAGCGGGTTTGCTTAGCTGAGCAGGAATCGGAGCTGGTACTGCGCCGGGCTTACTTGGCTGTGTAGGAGCAGCAGCCTTAATGTTTGCAGTAACCGGAGATGCGTTAGTTACTATTAAAGGAACAGTAATAGATTGCACGTTTGTTGGATTAGTGAAAGCGTCTTTAGCCTCTGTTGAACTGGCTTTTGCTTCCTCCCACAAAATTACCATTTTGTCCTCTTTTGGTTTTCCAGGTAATCGTGTGATTTCAAGCGAAGCAGTTTCGGAAACTTTGATGAAACCATATATCGGAAGTATGCCATATTCGTGGTTGTTTGAGCATTTCACTTTGAATGCAACTCGTGCTCCAACTTCGTTTCTCAGAACAACATTTAATTTTCCTCCAGCTGTTGAGAAGTTGACGATTCCAGGCTCTACTTTCAATTTGGACCTAAACACGATGTATTAGTTGGTATTAGCTAGATCTCATAAGTACAAATCAACCCAGCTAAGAGGGTTGGATAGATGCTAATGGTGGCTGCTCACGCAATCTATTGTCATCCACAAAACAAAAAGCCTGGGTGATGGCTGTACTCCTACAGGGCACTGTTAACATTGTGAGAAAGAAAACGCAAGTAGTGCCAACGTCTGCGTCTAACTTAACTTTACCTCTGCTTAAAAAAATACAACTCCACACTACTATTTTTTTTGAACAAGAAATTGTTGCATAATCGTTTTCACGAGAACTATAAGCAGAAAAATTTAACGGAACATAACCTAACAAAACATTTCTAACTTGTAAAGGAAGAAATCTCGATAGGTATATTTCACATTATATTCCAGCACTATGGTTGGTATGAACTACACACATCCACTCTCCAATGGTGTACCTTTGTACTGTGGTTGCGTGACGTTAGTCAATGTGAAACCGCGATGTAGATAGGTCCAGTTCACTTTCAAGCTCACTCAACATGGTGACATAGATTTCAAGATTTTCAATCCAGAAACCCATTACACAGGAAACTTATACGACAGCCGGGGTCGGATCCATGACTATTTTCTCATCGAAAACAGTGAAAATCAGTGGCGTCTTACAAAAAACGCGGTGATTCTCCTGTTCCTCGAACGAGCGATTGTCACACAGCAAATCTAGTGTGGTAATGACAAATATATATTTCATTGATGGTTGTTCGAGTTTTTCCATAATTAATTGAATAGCAGGTGGCAGAATTTTTACGAATTTCTTCGATCACATTACTATTAACACTATCACTTATAAAGACGATTTTCACGCCTATATCCTTTGTGAAAGGCGCGTGTGGCGCAGTAGTCGGGGCGCTCCTGCAACACACGCAGAATCAATCTCCGCACCCATGGCCCGTCAAGCTCTCCATCCCTCCGGGGTCGGCAAACTGGTACCAAACTTGTCTGGGAGAATAGCAACACTGGTTCGATACATCGTCAGGCCACCGCGAGTCATCGTAAAGGCCAGATGTGCATTCAGTCACCTCCAAACGATGCTTAATGAAATCGAATGCATGGTGCATCCTCAGGGATTGATCAACGCCGAGAGCTTTATCCTTTATATCCTTTGTGTGAATTCAAACCTCAATTCCCAACCATTTTCATTGCAATAATCGTGTGAGACGAATGAACAATCATTCAAAATCCTCTCTGGCAACCGAATTGGACTTTTTATCGCCAGATTCCATGTATATGGAGTCGAATTCAACCACTTGAAAGCATATGCATTCGAATGGTTCTTCTTGAAGGCTGTTTCTTTCATTCATTGGGACGCTGGAGACTGTGCTTAAAGATACCGTGCAATACACCCATGGTCGCTGATTGGACACCACGCTGAGCCGACCAAGGTCGCTGTGCTTTCGAGTCGACAAATTACTAAAAGATTTGTTTACTAAAAGTTCCTTACGATCTACAAAGACCACTGACTGCCGCTGTAGTGGTGATCTGGAAACGCTCTGGCACAGCCGTTCCAGGATTCATTGGTGAACCAACTCGACAGCATTCAATGATGTTTATGAAGAAGATGAAATCTTCAATTAACAGCTGAACCAATTTCCAAATTCAAAGCAATCGTAAAAGATGGATGTGGGACAACGAAACGAACGAAAGACGTGCTGCGATCGGCACAATGTGTGAACTCCGCGTATATAAATAAGTAAATTCATTTACTAAGAGCTAACGTGGTAACCGCCAACAGTGTTGGAGAAATAACTGAAGTCGACATGCTCATCCACGACGTCGTTGAAGGACTCAACAGAGAAGCACGAAGCTTTGAGTTTTCTTCCTTCCAGTACTTCTGAATCTTCACTGAGCACTGTACGAAGAAAAGACACGTGACCTTCATTACCAGCAGTGGATGACTTATTATTCTCCTGACTTCACTTTAAGTGTTTTTCGAATTTAATAGTGTTATTCTTTCCTCCGTTTCATTTTTTCTTTGTTCACTTGCTTCAGTAGGGTTCCTTACGAATATAATGTTTGTGGAGTATAGAAGAACGAGTGGAAGAATCGCCTTTCTCTGAATGCCGTCTTCGTAAGTAAATAATTGAATGTTTCATTGTAATTTGATACTGAGAAACATTTACAATTCTTGTCCTTTATAAAGCCTTTTCTGTGTGAGGATAATGATGGTACATAACACATCTTCTGTAAAAATTGTGGTTTGTCGCTATCGTTAGGAAGAGCATACTCCAGAGGGATAAATATGATATTCTTAGGGCTAACGACGACTTTAATTAAGATTATCTTCAATCTGTTTCTATCAGCCTGCTCGCAATATGATTGTTCGTCGGCTCTGTTGAAGGCTCCAAGACGTTCGCCAACAGTGGATGTTGGCCTAGGTCGTAGTCGTAGGTCGCTTGACAAGCGTTTTCTTATTGCGGATAGCTTCATGAAGCTCGAATTCCTTTTTTATTTTTTCAGCAGCCATAGCTGGCTATCATTTCTTCTAATATTACTTATAGAATGGGAGAAGTCATATTCTTCATCACCATGAATCATACCCTCCAAGAAGCATAACTACTCATTAAGAACAGGAGATCTTAAAGAAACAGTAATAATCTCTAGCTAGGTCGGTATTACTTCGACAGTAAAGAAATATCATGAGATTTTAAAGACTTTAAAAAGTAATAAAGAGAGTCGAAAATGATTTAAAAAGAGTGGTCTTTTGCTCAGTTTTGTCGCCCAAATTCCTACAATTCCGAATTCCTAAATATAATTAATACAATTATAACTAGTATAATATAATTCCCTACGTCTTCGGTTCTGGTGCTGGTACAGTGCCTTTGGGTTTCTTTTTCTCCGCTGATTGGTCCGCTACAATTTTCTTCTCTTCGAGTTCCACGGATGGTGCAGCCACAATACCCTGTTTCGTTTCGGCTTCTGTCTCTTTCAGCATACTTGGTGCTACAGCTTCTACTAAGTTGACATCTTCGTATTCTCCATCACCCTGATTAACATGGTTTTGAAAAAGGAAGAACTGTTCGTCCAAAATTGAACCCACAATTGACATAAAATAGCAGAAAAGAACAGAAGCAAGTTCAGCTCAAACCTACTATGTCGCTTTTCGGCTCGTCGTCTTCTGTAAATAAGTTCGATATCTTTTATAACGCTATCAATAGTTTCTATACGTAAGTATTCTTAATAATATGGAATACATATAGGATATTCTGGAAGTTTACAAAGGAGGTTGGTACACCACTAGCAGTGGCAACGCTCCGCGTGAACATCACCAGCAAGAGATTAGGTGGGTTGACAACAAATCAACTAGTACTCCAACGAAAACCACCTGGTAGTTTCCACATACTAATCGATGATGCAGTTCTTCTCTATTTAAACTTATGGCATAGTGAGAAAACCGCACGCCATTTCTCACCTTTTATTCGAGGTCATATTTCCACCTACTGTTCCTACACATCTAATGGTTAACTAATTTTTGCAAAACCCCGGACCGCAGGTGTCTGCGGTGGGGAACGAAGTGGGAACGTGTTCACTGATTTCGCCTTCCTCAGAGCCGCTTTCTATGAGACCTCCACTAAGTATGTCGCGTGAAGACCAACCGCACAGAATCCACATGGAAGCATTATGCTTACGCTAAGGCGAAATTCGCCGAAACGTCAGCTTATTCGTGTATAAATAATAAAAGTAACACCTCGCGTTTGCTCAACAAGAATACGAAGAATTACTTGATCAACAGTTAATGTTATGACTTCAACTGCAACCTCAGCTTACTGGTTTCACTGCCGACATGTGACCATCAGATCGATCCCGTTGACAGATGGCTGCTGATTGCACTGATAGATAGAAAACTAGCTAAGAGGGGGGCGAAACGAAACACCCGCATGGTATGGTGGCAAACGTGCTATCTCCCGAAAAGAATAATGGCGTGTTCGATCCCCAAATCTGAGACCCACGGTCCGGAGTTTTGCAAATATTTCAGCATCGTCATGTTTGTTTCACACATAATATCCTGTCGTGAAAAATTGTAGCAGGTGGTTAACAGAACGTTAACATTGTAGCTAATTTTTGTTCACATATTTGTCTTACTTTACATGTGCATTCCTATCAAAACCACACATAAGAAGCTCATTTTGAATGATTGTTTAAATTTCAACAAGGTTGATCAGGTATACGGATACCCTTTCGAAGTATGGCATTCTTCTATGCAGGTGATGTCAAAATACCTCAAACAGAATGAATGAAAGCAAAAAATGGCCTTCTGAGAAGGTTATAGCTCAAATTTACATTCTCATCACTGAAATTATGACTTACTTCGTTCGATCTGCATTGTGGTCCTCGGTCTCAGTGTGCTAGCAGCAATATTAAGCGTCGTAGCGTCTGCTGGCGTAATCGGTACAGTGGTTACACCTGCGTCAATGTTTTCATTCCCACCTTCTGGAGCTGGTTCGTCTACTCTTGCTTTGTCTGCTACCATAACTGCTTCCAGTCTTTGCACTGTTGTCACTGGTTTAAGTTTCGTCGCTAACGTAACCGCTTTATCAGGTAGCGGTGGTGCCTTCTGCTGTTGAAGAGGTGTTGAAGGTGCAGGCACATGTGGTGCCTTGGCTTTACCTTCACTATTCTTCCGCTTACGTTCACTCGACTTCTTTTCATCTGTTTTCTTACTTTCTTTCGAAGCTTTTTTCTCACCATCGATCTTTTTTTCTTTTTCCACTTTTCCTTGAGAAGCTTTTTCCTTCGCCGTATCTATTCTTTGGTTACAGGTTAAAGTCAGAGTAAGGAACATGAAAATAATGAAGGAAATGTGGAGGAACCATTCGTGCACCTGAAATAGAAATTTGTCCATCCTGTATTCAAGAATTCAAGTAAAATAAACATACTGTCACACTCATTTGATGTAATTTTACACCGGATGCTTGTTGCTATAGGAATGAGACATACCATATATGCGATAGTTTGATATGACCAATATGCTTGAAACCACGATAGCAATGTTTTCGGATTTATGAGCAGACAATTAACCACTACCATAATTGCTTATCTTTTTCTAACCTTAAATAGGAGATTTCTTTGCTTGATTTCACTTTTAGGTTATTATTTTGTTGACTGAAACATAGGCGTTCATTCCTGGATTAGAAACAGTACTTACTAAAGTAAACGAAGGCGAACCGCAGCAATAAGAGGAAAACTATGAAGTTTCGCTTCCTTCAGGGCCTGGAAAGGTAAGATTGACAGGCAATCTACCCATCCAAGCACTATCATAATCTAAGCGGAAAAATAACTCGAACTATGAAGTTTGGTGTGAAGGAGAGCAGAGTATTCTGTATAGATCAGCAACAATTAAAAGGATCTAGTATTACTTACATACCTATGACGTTCAATATATGTGTAAGATTTGGAATAAGTCAGCAGAAAAGAGGACTGTCAGTCACCTTCTGACCTCTAATAGAGACATCATCCTGACCTCATATTCTCATTAATCGTTCATGTATATGACGAAAGCCGTTCCAACTCTATGCTGTGAATGGACACACAGAGGATTCATCGAAATAGCTATGAACAACAGGTTGATCACTCGATTGAGGTCTAAAGATAGGCTGGTGAATTTGGTATCAACCCTGTTCTCTTCGTTTAAATCTTCAAGTTCTTCCAGATCTTCTCTCCGTAGAATATTTCATCTTCGCGCACACCCAGCAGAATATGTATAAAAAAAGATACATGGGAAGAACATTGGAGTGGATCCTCAGAAAGCTAAAATTATTCCAAAGAGTCGCTAACAAGCTGAACAAGTTGATCTGTTCGTCGAACGTGCAAGCCAGCTGTATTCGCAACCGTGACTATTAAATCCTTGATCCACAAGCAAATCTACACACGAACACGTACACCATCATCGATGACGGTTATGCGGCCATGAAACGCAAGGAAGAAGTCCTGGGGAGTTTATGATGTATGAACAGAGGTTATCTAAGTAAACGATATTGACTGCGTAAGTTTCCAAGCCAATGATCAGTAATACCGAATGCAAATGTTGACCATATTTTTATGAGAGGAAAAAGTACTTTAATGATGAGGAGTACTATTATTTGTAATATTGTATTCACTACTGTTTCAAGAAGATAAGTGAAATCTTTGCCGTCTTAAGGCGAAATGTTTATTGTCCTATATATATAGTTAACCATTCAAAAAAAAGAACCCACTTAATGGATATAGTAAGCACATATTTCTCACCCACATTTGTGTTGCTAGAAGTTGTAGTCACAAAAAAAGTGGAACTAGAGGAGATTAGTATCGCTTATAGTATTATCTGGGGTTACTCATAGAGCGAGTAGCGGAAGAACTCCGTGAAAAATCTGACAAAGTATTCCGAGATCGAGGGCGTTCTCTCGTATCAACACATAAAGCAGCATTAGGTCGCCGATGTCGTAATGCAGCTCGCCCTCTGAAGTAAATTAGTGATTGGTTGGTGAACAACTAGATGTTAAATAGTGTGCCACAGACCTACGATGATCTCGTTCTTCTATGTAATTCGGTTCTTCTCGTCCTGAAAAAAATGAAGAGATTAACATTGTTCTAAGGTCGAATCTACTGTAATTCTAATTTTCCTATCGCTAAACTGAACAGTGATGAAGAGATAGAAGATTGATGTGTAAGAGAACTGATCATCCTCAAATCCTAATGACTTAATGCAGTTAATTCTTGAATGGTCGTAAAACTGTGCAAGAAATTTCTTACGTTGAATGGTAGCTTCGTTCCTGTTACTAGCAACTGTAGTTTCCGAACGAATACATCTAACAATCGTATCAAGCGTGTAGTATACAGTTGTAATAACTGAAATATCTAATTCTAAGATATTTTGAAAACTCTGAATGGCAGGTGTATGCGGAAAGAAAGGCAGAACGAAGGATTCGCGTGGTGGTGATCGCATTAGTCTCTAGAAAGGATAATGACGTGCTCGAACCCACCCTCATCACCCACCCCCTCCTTCTCTCTCCTTTCCTCAGACACCTGCCGTCCGGAGTTTTACGAATATCTCAGCATCATTGTGGTTGATTTCGTATAATACCTTGCCTTGAAAATTGTAGTAGGCAAAAATAAAGAAGTTAACAGATCTAATTCTATTTTCCATTCTAGCATCACCGCTTTACCAGCAACTTACACATTGGTTCCCATGTGAAGAAAGGTGTTTTTATACGAACAGTTGCGAATATCTGAAAAAGGAAAAAGCAAGTAGAGACAATTACAACCTAGTGAACAGAACAGAAAGCGCAGTCAGTACTTACAAGAGTGATCGTCATCAGCAACATAGCTGGTATTGGAACATTGGCGTAAAATTCTCGAAAGAACCGATTTGTGTGTCTGCCAAGATGACCGAGAACTCCGAATATAGAGTTGGAGAGGACATCCGAAAACACGTCCAATAAGGATATATCAGAGATAATAGATACTGTTTGCGACTGCAACAACTATTGATTATTAGGCGATCTGCACCTACACAACAGTGCCATTGTTCGATGGTTATAAAATTTGGATGTAATTCAGCGAACAGCCATATACCTCAATAAAAGAAAGACACGAAGACTTCCTTTGGAATGAAATAAAACTGAAAAAGTATTCAAGTGTCTGATCAACAAGACTGTTCGGGGCGCAAGCATCTTTTCTCCTTTCCATTGACTCCACTATTCGCAACGCAAGCTTTTCCTGAACAATCGATTCGAAGAATCGTAAACACTCCATTAATCGTAGGTCCAACTAACTTGGTAGATTCTATTGTATGTGGTAAACATTGAAATGACGAAGAAAGCTGACAGGACGCAAGTCAAGAACGAACGAGAGCTGAACATCATTTAGTTATGAAAAGCGAACCAGTGAGATATACATTTTCCCGACAATAAAGGCCATAAAATGGCAAAACTTTAAAAAAAAGGCTACAGTTTTCTACAGGAGCAAAAAAGGAGCAACTTGTTGCAAGCGTGATTCCACCGTATCAAAAACGTTGTGCGAGTAAAACACTAGAACCTCTGCTTTAGAGAAGTAATACACATCAGTTTTGTACAACGGGGAGTGGATGGCGCAGTGGTTAGTGATGCCGTCGATCAGGAAGCAAAAGCGCTAACTCGAACCCCTCGCAGCACTTCTCTCCAATCCAAGTGGGCACCCCTTAGCCCGACTATCCAGTCGAAACACCATGCGAAATGTTCGAAGACCACTGTGAAGGATGAATGCGAGGAAAATGAATCGAATGCAAGAAGCGCTGGGATCAACACAGTAAATATGCTACCATGTAAAAAAAAGCGAAAAAAAACCAGAAGATTGGAACAGCAAAAACTTTTGTTTTATTTATATCTATATGATCCATCTTGAAATATTGCGCGGATTCCTGCATTTCCTTCATCCCATGCATTCACATTCGTCATCCAAGAAGGTTTCCAAGTTTTGTAATCGGTTGTTAGTTCAGAATTTTGCTCTTTTCGTGAATATCGCTCACGTTTGATGATGTCCATCTATAATCCCACGATAACTTCGATAATTTTTCCAAGTCTACACCATAGGCGGTCGCCGTAGTTTGGAGACCAGAAGCAGCTTTTCCCAAATAACACCGGCATCAACTTATCAACCGCGGAAGGATGGTCCTAGTTTGTTGGCTCAGAACAGTTGGACCAATAACCATGCGTGTACTGCACGGCATCTCTATCCACTTTTCAACCGCTTCCATTCTGGCGTCTCATTTTTCCGCTTTACAACAATCTTCGGGTTTTCAGTCGTTCAAATAGCTATGGAGAACACACTCTATCAGTTTCTCTTGTACCTAGCGCCTTCTAAAGGTGATATGGAGTTCTTGTATAGTCAATGAACCAAAGTGGTCTCTACTAATAAGCAATACTTTATTCAGCGACGTTGTTTTAAATTCGATTTCTCTAAGGACAGCATTTTCTAATAAAATTCTGTTTATAATCTTTAAGTATATGTGATGCCACTCGTATTAAACGGGATCACCATGAATAGCGCACAGTATTACTAGTAGGCACATAGAAGATAAACGATAAACCTCTCGGCGTTGATCAATCCTCGAAGGATGAGCCATGCATTAGACTCCATCAAGCATCGTTATAGGTGACTGAATGCATATCTGGCCCTTACAATGACTCGCCATGAATTAGCCATCTATCAAGGCAGTACTGCTATCTTCCCATAGAAGTCTTGTACCAGTTTACCCACCTCGAAGCGATGGAGGGCTTGGTGGGTCTGAGGTGAGGGGATCGATCCCATGTGTATTGTACGGCGCCTCTGACCACTGCGCTACACGCGCTCAATCCGCACATACGCACATGAAGTCAACCATGAAAACAGCTAATTTCTACGGTCTACAGTGTAATGCAGAGGTCTTTAATGTATCCGTTTCTGGTTATTTTTTGTCTCCTGCTTTAGAAACAATGTTTGACATTTGCAAACCTCATTATGCTTCTTAAAAGAAGGAAGAGAGCAGGTGGAAGTATCAACATATTCAACAAGGAAATCCACGGTCCTATCACTGTAACTATTTCTTCCCAAGCAGAAACGGGAGGATCGTCTTCATACTGAACAAAGACAGTATTAACATGCTAACTATTTGTTTAAAACGAGGCAAGAACACTGGACACTACAACAATTGGTTGGTGAAGAGACCCCTTCTGCTCCAGTTGTGTCAAACCCGAACGCCTACCTCGCGATCAAGTTTTACTTATCTCCACTATTAAAAAACTCTACATGAAGGCGCAGAATTGTTTGGATTTTCCACTCTTATTCCGATCAATTTAGCCATCGGAGTAAAGAAATCCGGAAAATTTTAGTGTACAAATTCAAAATGGGTGCAAAACAGCGAAAAACGGTTGCAGTACTAGACCAGGCAGAACTGCACATCTGTCACCCTCTAGTAGCCTCATACTTGCTCCCAAGTTGACAAATTATGAAAGCTTGACGAAATTCTGAAATTTCTCGAGCCCTCTAACTTTATGCAAGGGAAATTTCGCAACAGTTAGGTAGAAGCTCAAACCCCGACGATTCAGTTGTGGATCTCAACAGCCAGTGAATTCTGTGCTGCTGAAATGACTTCAGTGTTGACAAAAATGTATACACAATAAAGTTCATATTTTCAGACACAAATTTTATTCTAAACTGACACACAATCCACCATAGTTACTGCATCAGACAGGAAGTATTTTTTTTTATCAACCCTTGCTTTATCTGTGTCTGGACCATAACAACGAACTGCTATTACCACAAAATTTAACTCTCAACAGCAGTGAATCAAGACGAACGAAAACTTGTTGTGTCATTCTACCATTTACAGAAAAACTTACCACTTCGATCATATTGTGTAACGCTCCACGTACTTGTTCCTTCATCACAGGTTCGTTTTCGGCACCCTCCATTTCTAAGTAGGAACCAATAATCTTCATGTTGAGAGACGACAATGAAATCCTGAAGGTCAGTTTACTAACATGGAATAGCTAGAAATATTACTACATTCTAGAATCTTAAAGTCGTATAAACAACTCATGATGGTGGAGACATACTTGGATAATTGGATGGCCTGTCTTCACTGGTTGTGCGGGCCCCTACATAATACCTATTTTTTCTGAGTTTTGCTGGTTTAGCCAATGTGGCTCACTGGAATCCCGAGGTAAGCCTGGCCAAAGTCTGCCCCAGGTCTTCACCACCACAAGTAGTCGCAGCCCTTGTGGATCAGAAGGAGATTTGCCACCATGCGATTACTTTGATATCAGGACGGTCGCGGATCCTGGTATTGGCTTACTCTTAGGTTTCCTGATCGAAACACCGGAGTCCTCAGCTTGAGAGACCCTGCTGGGAAGGTGAACCCCCGCTGTACATCGCAGCCCAATACCCAAAAACTCTTCTAGCCACAATAAGACGGTAAACCGTTGGAACGGATGGCAGACACATAGGAAATACAATAGCTATAGCGAGATACTAGTGAGCCTAAACTGTTTCCACCCCCAATATGTCGCTATACTAAAAAGGCGCAGGAATATTTAACATGGACAACCTGGCTGAACGCGAGAAAAATGTCTTCTCAAGAGGATCAACGCGAAGTTCTTTGAAAATTTGCCGTAGAATAAGGCGAAGAGTAGGATCGTTGCACACTACCTAAAGACATCATATATTACTTGTGAAAGAAATATGAACCTACACGTATACTTTGGTACTTCACTGGTCGCACATAAGATTGAACCAGTTATCTTTTACCACAACGAATTTGTTCTAGACGTGAAAAAAAGAATCAACCTTAAGTTCCTTGTTAACTACTCCTGTTTTCGAAGTTTGTCTAGCAGTGGGATCGTTTGGATCCTTCCAATCAGAGGGAATGCTACTGTCGGTTTCACAGAGATGATCGCATAGTATTCCAAATGACAAAACAATATAAGCATTGAAAAGAGCCATCTGCACTTCCCACACTTCTAGAAAAGGTCTTTCGTTAAAAACTAGGAGTTAGGTGAGATTAAAACTTCTCCTTACCTTATGAATTTCCTTCGAAAAGTGGCTATTCCAAATAAAAGACAGTATTCTGGCTACATATGTCAACTAGAGATCTTTCACGTGTTAACCTCTGGAAATACTTGTGTGGTTATGCAAACACGCGTAATGACCTACTATACTTACAGAGACACAAAGGAACACTTATTAAAGCTTATGACTCATTTAACCAAGCGCAATAAAACGCCTTACTTACCAGGTTAAGAAAAAACATCAAACTTAAGGACTGCCATCTTTCTTCATTTATCTACAAGCGCTCTGCTAAATACCTTACCGCATCAACATGACTGGAAGTATAACTGGGTGCTGAACTGCGAAGTACAGAGAGAGCTTCACCACGACACCAAGATCACCCAAACTGAAGAATACGACATATTCAATCTGAAGACCAGCTAAGAGCAAAACTATACCATGGCAGAAGTCGAGGAGCTGCCCGTGGCTAACCTCTCATTATGAATGGTGAAAAATTTCATTGTACCAAAAACAAGGCAATCTTCATGTTCGATTAACGGACAGAATCAATTGAGCAGATCAAGCGTGCGATTGCCATGGAACGGAGTTACCGCTACCTCGTACAGTAACCGGATAATTAACAAAATCACATGTGAAAAGTGTTACAAATGTTACCACCGGCAAAAATCTACGGTGATATGTGCAACCCAAAGTTTAATAAAGACATAGCCGGACAGTGTAAAGGAAAACCGTACTTACTGTCCTTTAATGATAAACAAATAGAGCCCTTCCATCGACCTCTTAGCAAATCCACAGGAAACGGAGGTTCAACAAGTCAACATAAAACTGTTTAGTGTCGTATCGCTGTGGATAACAAATTCACTCGAGTGGGATGAGGAAAGCATACGTATTGATGGAAAATTCCTATCAAATCTTCGTTTCGCCGACGACATCGCCATCTTATTAAGAAAAACCAACGAAGCAAACACGATGATCAATGAGCTCGATAAAGTAGAAAAAAGATCGGACTACGCATAAATCGGAAGAAGACGCAGTTCATAAAAAACGCAGGGTGCGAAGCGAATACATCAAACTGGATGGTTCTCCTATTACAGAGACGGCCTCATACATATATATTGGGCATTCAAAGAACATGGATAACAACATAAAGGAAAATTAGGGAAAAAAGAAGAGCAGCATGCGCCGCATTCAGGACTACCAAAGAAGCTACCGACCAACTGATGATCTGAAAATCCGCGCTCACCTTGTCGATTCGATAGTCCTCCTGGCCTTCTGTCTCGTAGCAGAGACGTAAGCTGATACTTCACCCAAGTCAAATATACTGCGCACTGCTCATAGAGAGCTTGAATGATGTTGTATGGAATATAACAAACACACAGAACATTTAGCTGAAATGCGAAGCTCTGAGCCTCGAAATCTACCTCATCTTAGAGACCCAGGGGAACATACTTCGATAGCGAAACATGGATGGGCCCGAAATATAATCTGAAGAACATATAACAGATGGACGAAAAGAACTGTAGAGTGGACTTCATGTGGATGCAGGAATCCCCTACGAAGTGTTCACAACTAAAATCAATCAAAATTTACTTACAGCTGCCGACTTTTTACAAACGAAGGTATGAGACTCACATATTATACCATAGGAATAAAAGAGCTCTAGGCGTTGATCAATCCCTAAGGGATGCGCCGTGCGTTCGACTTCACTAAGCATCGTTGGAAGTGACCGAATGCATATTTGGCCTTTACAATGACTCGCAGTGGCCTATCGATGGATCGAGCCAGTGCTGCTATCCTCGCAGACAAGTCTGGTACCAATTTACCGAACTCGAAGGGACAGAGAGCTCAGTGAGTCTGGGCGCAGAATCAACCTCATGTGTATCGTAGGGCGCCTCCGACATTAAACCACCACCATGGACGACGACTGCGCGAGAAAGGCACGAATGGCAAATTTGCTAAGGTCAGTATAACTCGATAAGTCGGGCAGTCCAAGTATCGAAATAATGATAAGCAATAAGAAATGATAATATAAAATAAGCCGGATTTCGAATTTTTTCGCAACCTAGCTATGAGGACTACACTATAGTGAGTCGTAGAAATGTGCAGCAAATACCGGCTACCTACAATTTTAACCCTGTTTAACTAGCATTTGAGACTGCGATAAGCAACGTCAAATTATGCCCTTTAGTTGACCAAAGTGCACACACCTTCTACATAAAAAGAGCTTGCTAACTGAAGTAATCACTGTAAAATGACTATACAGCTTCTTTACCAATCACTGATCACCCCAACTTGTAATAGAACACGAAAAGTCGACAAAGTATCACTAAACATGTTCTTCGTCGAGCTACAGTGCTGTATTTAGCCAACCCACAGGGAATTAACAAGGGTAGGGTTGTTGGACGACTCCTCTTCAACATCCGTTTTGCCGATGAAAAAACGACATTGCATTCTGAGCAGCTCCACAGAACTACGGCAATGCCTAGTGTGCTCAAGCAAGGAAAAAATCTAGACTAAAATCAATTGGAAGAAAACCCGAACCACGAAGAACGCCTATTGTAAAGAAGAGCAGTCTCCGAGACACGAAAGAATGCGTCTCAAAAAACGAACATCGATGGGACGACCACATAATGTGACGAGAAGACAGGTAGAATCAAAGACTAATAGAGTGTATTCCGAGCACAAAGACAACATAAACCAACTACAATCACAACTTGAAATCAACTTTCAAATCCTCAGCCTACACGACCTCATTAGGAAACGATGGTTGCAAGGCAACGGAAGGAAAAGGAAAACGTGCAAGGGCGACACGTGAAGACGGACCACCTAAGCATCTGATGAGTAAGTAATGATAATTTGCACTCGTCGTGATGTAAAAAGGTAGATCAAACAGACGAACATCAGAATGGTTCATAAGTTCTCTAAAAAAAAATACAGTCCCAGCAAGCTTATCATAAATTGAAACGAGTTGTGGCTTTAAAGGAGGTGCTGAATTAGGTTATCGACTTCTGTCGCAATAAACAATAATGCTGAGATATTCGCAAAACTTGGACCCCAGGCCGGATTGAGCCATGATTATCCTTTCCTCGGGTTTGCGTGTTACACACTGCACCACTGAAGCCCTTAGTCGTTGCTTAAATATTCTGCTTTAAAAGTTCTATAACAATCAGAAACATAAAGAACGAACATATATTCCACTGTTAAAGGAGAACTAGAAGAATCCGAAAGATAACAAGGCTCCTTAAACAAAATAACAGCGACCAGTCTCATTCAAAAGGCAATTTCTAGAAGGGTTAACCCATAACACTCGGTATTCAGCATTAACAAACCACCACCATTCATGAAACAACTATTATATAGAAAAATTTTTATGTAGAGATAAGAGAGATAACAACGCTAGGAACGAATATTTCAAAAACACTATTTCCTAAATCGAATGATCCACATGGCGAACGTAAGAACACTTAAAGAAAACCTGAAATACACAGTTCTTCCAGATAAAACTAGAATTTGGGAGTGTCTCCAACAAAACTAACCATGTCAACAAGTAAGATAAGTGATCGTTTCTAACATTGACGTTTGTCTGTCCACCGATTGGTCCTCCATCTACAGTTGATTCTTAAATTTAGACAGTTAACCTTATTTACTGTCAATGAAGAAGAAAAATACAGCGAATAGAAAGAGGTTACCATATACTGCTTCTAGGTAGATAGGGTCCGTGTTGTAATAACGTGCCATTTCAAAAAAATCCTTATAGAACCACTGTCCCTTCTCCGGTACGTTTTCGCTGATAAACTGTGGACGCTAAAGTGTATAAATATACTAGTATCGAAGCAAAATGGTCCTAGAGTTTTGTGAAGCGTTCAAATGCTTTCATAATATATTTTCTGTTACCCACTGAACGGTTTAATTCCTACCGTTTCACTTTTCCTTACGATAGCATCGAGTGTTATTAACCCTTTAGGCTGAGACGACTGACGAGAACTTTGCGAGATCATGGAAGCAGGAACCCAACCACGGTTAACCATAACTATAAGGCTGAAAAGTATCCCAAAGGTATAAATGTGGTTGCAAACTATATTAGACAAGGCGGAAGTAAACCAAATCTTAAAAAGGTAGAGAACAAACTAAGATAACAAGAAAGAAAATGTGCATGAAATAACACAAAAAACCGATTTTCTACAGATCTCGTCATAAACAATTAATGTATTTACATAAGTTCTAATGAACTGCCCTTGTTGAGTTGATGGGAGGTTGGTACAAGCTGTCGTGGTTATTCTTGGTCGATGGCTAACGTTTCGGCAAATTCGCCTTCCTCAGAGCCGGGACCGTTTGTATGTCACAATAACCTTGCAATTCCTTAATGACAATACATCCTTTACAAGTCAGAAAATATTAACATATGTCCATGCTCTGAGGAGGGCGAAGTCATCGAAACGTCAGTCATCAAACAACAGCAATAACTTGTACTAACATCGCATCAACTGAATAAAAGTAGTTCGTAAGAACATACATGGATACGCATGAAATGTTTCCTATTTGAAAAACAAGTTTTGCGGAAGCTTACTTGGAATTTGAAAGACGAAACGGAGTGATAATGTGAGCACCGTGACTAGAAAGGCTATCAGTGGAAAATATGAATCCTTGTCTCTCCTCCACATGTCCTAGACACAGTTTGTTATCGGGTAATCTCAGTTCGCATCAACAGAAATGAAAATGTCTGACCAGGATCAAAGCGTCCTCGAGGGGAAATGTAGAACTCTCTTTCATGAAGAAACTCGCCAGTTATGCGGACTCTTCGATATTCCATAGTGTCCAGTTTGGATATGCTAGATAGTATTTCAGAAGCTGAGTTTTCTCTAACCTCTTTATGATAATTCGATATGTGTTCAAACTGGTATATGGATTATAATGATCCAATTTAAAGACATACCAAACAGTGTTAACCACAAGCCTATTCCAAGAACCATGATTAAAATAAAACCTACTCATCAAGAGGAAAATCAACAGCAGGTTCATTTAGTCGTCCTTTCAATTTCTCAATAAGATCCAATTTCCATCGCAGTCGATAGGTTTGCCAGCATCCAAGACAGAATGTTGTGACCGGAATCACCTTTGAGAACTATTAGTTACGACAGTGTTAAACTTTTAATTACCGCCTATACTTCTTTTATGACATGGTATGATGTGAAATTCAACCACTATAATGCTAAGATTGCTGCAAAACTGGGATCATTGGAACCCACGATCACTTTTTCTGGGCGCCCACGTGTTGTGCGCTGCAGTATGAAGTCCTCAGTTTTCCTTTCTCTCAGCAGTTTTCTACCTAACGGTGCTATCAGCAACCACCCGACAACGGGAATCAATATTACTGGTAAAACACGGCTGAGAGAAAGGCGAAACGAGGAACGCGCACGGCTTGGTGGCGAGCACATCAGCCCCTGGAAAGGAGACTCCTGCAGTCCGGAGTTTTGCAAATATCTCAGCACCAATGTAAGGATATTTCACATCACACCCTGCCATGAAAAAAAGAATAGGCAGTAAATAAAAGTGACTACTATCGATTATGTTCGACAAAGCGTTTATAGGATTACAAAAGTTCAAAATTACTTCATCAAAACGCAGTAGAAACTAAGGTAATAAAAGTAAATCGAGAAAAAAAAACACCTCACAAGCAATGCATAGGATCCAAAAAGCCATTTAGCCTTCCCAGATCCCTCGTCTTTCTGGGCTTCTGTTTTGCTCAATGCATATCTTTCTCTTCTACTACGATCATCTAGCTGAAACAGCTACATATTTCCTTTTGTAACAACTAGAAATAGCAGCGAGTTACTTAAGAAGTACCTGAATTATTTCCTCCGTTCTTCTTCTGGATAAGGCAGTGGAAAACGAGGAGGTGCCATAGGAAACTCTGGATAACCGGTGAAGGAACGTAAGTGACGTCATATTCACAATTCTGGATTTGACATCCAGAATAACGGATTTTAAGGACCTTGTTTCCTTCAGTAACGTCTCTTCATAGGGTTTAGAAAAAAGAAAAGCCGGTTGCATGAGACGTCGATAACTATTAAAATCAGAAGAAACGCGTTAAGTCCGGAAGATTTACAGTTCAACGCACTTAGGTGAACAAGCGTTCCTGTGAGAAGAGTAGTTCGATAGATCGATCCGTAAATCACATGATGGAAGTCACCTATTTAAAAATATTTTTCAAAAAAAGTGTAAGTGATGAAGAACACCACACGGAAATAGAACTGAACCAGAGCAAAAATCGATAATGGGCAGCTATCCAGACTCACACACTTCGACGCACCCTTACCTACTTGGTATCCTTGTCCATAATACTATATAGAAGACGTTAATAGTAGTAGGTTTTTAGCCAGGCAAACTTCTTCATACACAAATAATGATGTCCGATATATTGTTAAAAGTTACAGTTAGGGTTAGTTAGTTAACTTACAATTAAGGTTATTTTGGTTAAGTTGCGGTTAAGGTTAGTTAGTTAAGTTACCGTTAAAATTTAAAGTAAGAGAAGTTAAATGCAGTTATACTTACAAAAAAGAGTTGCAGAAGGTTTACAGCTACAGAAATACAGCTGTAAAGCTATATGATCCTCATGAATAACAAATCAGTCAATCCAATCAATATCCTGCCCTCTCTTGGTATCATCCTCTTGCTATCGTCATCCCTATTGCGGTATAAAAGACGTTTGCGTTACTAAGTTATTAACCAGATGAAGCTTCCTCTGTAGTGACATAGTTACATGTTAATGTCATAGTTAACAATTAACTAGTTAGCAGTTTGTAGTTAATTAATAATTAGTTAATTTCATAGAATATGCAAAAGTTAAGCGCAGTTGTACTTAGAAGGAGTTACGGAAAGTTTACAGTTACAAGAATACATTTTGCCTAAGCCTAAGCCTAAGGCAAACCTAATAAACAAATACGTTAACGTTCGGAAGATTAAGAAACCGTATACTGTACTTGTAAACGAAAGAACTTTCATTCTTTAAGGCATTAAGACGTTTAGACAGACAGATACAAGACAAGACAGACATTAAAACATTCGTCACCTTCATTTCCTTGCTCTTTATTCATTCATTTCTCTCATTCGTTCATTCTTCATCCCCCTTTCTGTGTTACATTTTGTTTTCATTCTCTTAACATTTTCGAAACTATAGTACATGGAACAGATATGGAATGGAGTGCTTGAGCTCCTGCTTATGGAGAATGTCTACTATTTTCTTTGGTCGGTGAAGGAATATCTATTCGACTAATCATATCTTTGAAGATGTTGGCAGAATGAAAAGAAAGTGGGAACGAAGAATGAAGGAATGACGGAAATGAATGAATAAAGAAGAATAATGAAAGTGAGGAATATCTTAATGTCTTGTCTTGTCTATCACTCGTAACGTCTCAGTGTCTTTAAGAATGAAAGTTCTTTCATGAACAGACTGTGTAGTTTCATAATTTAGCACAACTAGTAATGAACTATTAACATGGGTGTCTTTCTTAACTTTCTGAACCAACGTCCAATTTTGTTTGCGTCTTAAATAACGCATAAAATCGTTACATCATTAGCTAACCAGTAAATGTAAAGTCACGTAGGAAACACAGGTTAAGGGTGCATAAGGTGGAACTAACAAAGCTTACTTGTAAGCTTTTGGATGCTGGAAAACTCTATTATAAAGTTAAAACACTATGTGGGACTAACTAATTGTTACTTTCCTTTTATCTCAGCGCTATTGTGTAGTCTTTGAAAATTAGCCATGACTAGACTTGAAGGAGATTTGTAAAGTTATAGTTCGGTTTCTGTCGACGGGATGGTTACCAGGAGTCATAATGTCGTGTTTGGCTTTCATCTCGCTGTTCTTCCTGTTCAGTTTTGTTTCTTTCCACATAGACGAAAGAGAATCCATTTTTTCAGAAGTTCAGAGTGTCAACGTCGCTGATCAGCTTGCGATGGCAACTTCTTCTTCGACTTCTATGAAGAAATGTGGGTGTTCTTCTTATATCAACTTTATAAATGCCGTTGCTCTTGACAATCTTTTGATTGTTATCGTTCCCGGAAAGAGTTTGCGTTAAAAAGGTTATTTGATTTTTCGATATTTACCCAGAACTGTCTTTAATCCTTACGTTCTTAGTTTATGACATACATGCTTCGTATTAGTCTAGGTACGGAAAACGGTGATTTTGATGAGTGTCGCCGACCCAAGAAGTTGTTTGACGCAAATGCTTCCGATTCTGAAGCTTCATCCGATGGTATGCATTTATTGAGTGTTGGTTTTTTCTGCCTCTTGTGCACTATTCCATCACCACTTTTGAAGAACTCTAAAGACAGGATTGGCTTGGATTTTATGATGATTAGGACCTGAAAAAGTGGTTGTGGGTTCGAAGCTCAGCTAAGGTTTCAAGTTTGGCTCAGTCCAGTTCTGGTGGTTTTCCCATTATTTAAAAGCGCCTTTCTATCAATGTGAAAACTTGAGCCGAAAACACCAGACCATTGTTGCTATGCGATTAATGCGATTATGAAGGTTTCTTCCTTGGAGTTCACGTCGAGGTTTTGATATTGTCCTGAGATCTCAAGTGGTGGTTTTGATTCTTGAGCTAGGCTAAGTTTATATTTTTGAGTTTAGTGTCACCACCAGGGTACCCATGTGACGGTGTTAATCTTGAGACTCTTAAAAGCTCTGATCGCTGAAACGTTACCAGTTATGTGTGTTGTCTGTCTACAACCTCATGTAATCGTGTTACTATCACAGCAACTCTTTTGCCATTTGCTATAACCGTTTAATGCATTCTTTAGAAGTATTTTCATTGTTTTAGATCGTCCTACCTTAGATCCTGAAAGTCCCAGCCGAGGCGGATGCTTAAAGTCTGATCGTGCCAGAGACGATCAACCGGGTTCTAGCAGAGGCAGAGCACTGCAACAGGTAATACTCACAATATTGAGTGCATTATTGCATTTGGAAGCTGATGCAGGCTGTATTTACGTTTCTGGTCATATTTTTCATGCAGATGATAGTCCGTTCAGCTGTGAACTAACCACTCAAGAACAAAAGAACTAAATTTTTCCCACAACCGACTTTTAACCTCGGCATGGATTGGTAATTCGATGTTTTTGTTTTTCCAGAGTAGAAAGTATTTCACAGTAGACGTTTTCGATCCTATATGGATGGATTTCATTTTTTCGTGTTTTCTAGTGATATCTAACGGGTTCATTTCATCTGGATTCCTTTACTATGGTCCGTTCCTACTTTTACAATCTTGATTTGCCTTATATAAAAACTCAGGAACAGTTGTATAGATGGATATACATTAATTCCTTATATGCTTTTCTTAAGGGATGTTCATCTGGGTGGACTAGAAAGGTTTAAATTCTTACAAGGAATTAGAAATAGTTCATGGAAATGTGTAGAAGAAAATTTCTATATGTCCATCATTATGAGTTCCCTAAAAGTGTCATGTCCTATCTTCATCGAAATACCTAAGTACTTGTAGATGAATGAATCTTTGGAAAATCTATCGGAAATTCACTGTAACTGAGTGGATAACTCTTTCTTTCTCGTTCATTCCTTCTCAGTAGTGACACCAAGAACAGCAATTTATCTTCGGTATAACTCGGTATGGGAAATCGGCATCGTGATACATTGTTAGGGTCACATGAGGTTGTTATAAAAACCTATTGGTAAGCTTACGCTTGTTGTTGCAGGACTTTGTTATGCCTAACGTTTCGAAGCAATCGCTTACTCTACACGTGAAAATTCTATAGCAGCCTTGTCTAAGTATGTCTGCTGAAACAAAGCATTGGTAG